CTCCACTGACGTTTTGCATCTTAAGACTGTGACAGACAGCGGCAGCTTTGGGGGACGCCTTCATCCATTAGTGGATAGAACATCATCATCAGCCATCCTCTGAATGCCATCATCATACGTGGTCAATTTTACCGTCGCCACCACCTCGAACGACCCTGCTGCGATGTAACGATTCAGCCAGCGTCTCTCTCTGTACGCGAGCGTGCAGAGAGATGCTCCATCTTGTCGACGGAGTTGTTCATTCCTCGGCTGCCAAGCCCGAGGAAGCCTTCGCCACTGGCCATTATCCCTTTCCAGCGACCTGCCCTGCCCAAACCCACTCGTCATTAACCTGCCAGTGATCTCGTATCCACGCGTTCTCTGCCCCTTTGTTCTCTAAATTCCGAGCATGCATCTCTCCGTAATGTGACAACGTGGTGTGTATACGTTTATTATTTTATGTCATCATCATCATCCGTGTCTCAACTTACTGCCGCCACCACCTCTAACGATCCTGCTGCGATGTCACGATCTAGATTTTGAGTTTTCGTGACTGCAGGGATTCATACTCTTTGGTTCTTTCGGTAAAGTCACGTAAATATACAATAAACACAAATATTTATTTTTATTAATAATAAATTACTTATTTTAGTTTATACCTTCGTGACTTTACCGAAATGTGCTGATAATAAAATAAATTATTTATTTTATTTTAAACCTAAGTGACTTTACCTAAAGGACCAAAGAGCATGCGATGTAACGATTCGCCGAGCATCTGCACTCAAGCGTACGCCTTCAAATAATTAAATGTATAGAACTTTACAAAGGGTTTGATTTTGTGTAGGGATTTGTCATGCAACTGAGTTCAGTTACCGCCGCATGTTCCTGATGCGGCCTCACGGACGACGACGATGGCGCCTTGAATAACAAAGCAAATGGGTTTCGTGAAGCTCCTGGTGCTGCTGCACCAATAACAAAAAAACTCTGCACAATCGTTAATAACGCTGCCTTGGCACGTATGTGATGTGAAGAAGGGCCGTTTATCGAAACGTCGCCTCTATATTTTGTTATTTTAAGGCAGTGTTGTAAACTAAGGTGTTGAGCCTTAAACATTTTATTCATATTAGTCTTTGCTATTAATGTGTTTTTGTATGTACACGTCCACTGGACATTGTGAAAAAGAGATTCATAGCTCATCCGATTTCTCCAATAAAAATAAAGATTCTGATCTCATTATCACAATGCACGACTTTGCTACTTGCAATTGTATTGAGCCCGTAACGTAACAAGACGTCTCAGAGCATTGTTCTATCCTTTAATTATACAAGTAGAGATGTTTGACTTTGTTACATTAGTTACTTGCGCCAAGAAGCGTGGAGACATGTCGCATGCTTCAAATTAAACAGGGCGACAGAAAGAAAAATAACTGATTTATATAAACAAAAGAACACTGAACCCACGACACTGGAGTGTCAGTAAAGCACAAGTGGGCTTGGGCAGGGGACACACAGCCCTGGCAGGGAGGATGATGGCCGCTGGTCGAGCATCACGAAGGCAGCGGCAGCCACGAAGAGTGGACACGTCGGTGGGAGCGCGTGCCCCGCGGAGTAGCTCCACTGACGTTTTGCATCTTAAGACTGAGAGAGACAGCGGCAGCTTTGGGGGAGGCCTTCATCCATTAGTGGATAGAACATCATCATCATCATCAGCCTTTCTCTGAATGCCATCATCATACGTGCTCAATTTTACAGTCGCCACCACCTCGAACGACCCTGCTGCGATGTAACGATTCAGCCAGCGTCTCTCTCTGCTACGCGAGCGTGCAGAGAGACGCTCCATCTTGCCGACGGAGTTGTTCATTCCTCGGCTGCCAAGCCCGAGGAAGCCTTCGCCACTGGCCATTATCCCTTTCCAGGGACGTGCCCTGCCCAAACGCACTCGTCATTAACCTGCCAGTGGTCTCGTATCCACGCGTTCCCTGCCCCTTTGTTCTCTACATTCCGAGCATGCATCTCTCCGCAATGTGACAACGTGGTTTGTATACGTTTATTATTTTAAGTGTAATTCATTTTTTGTGTTAGTGAATTGGACGATATTAATGTATTGTCAAATTTGGTGTATTATCAGTCTATTTCTTACGTCAGGCCCTTGTTAAATCAACCATACACACAGTACTGTACATACAAAGGAATGAGGTTGTGTTTTCCGCGCGCGCGTGTGAGCGCTGAACGATATCATCCTTGGATCGAGGACGTCATTATTTGGTGCTTCAGCTGCTGCTTTGGCAGTGTCGCACAAGCACGACGAACTAACAACCGGGACATTAACTACTTTGTCCCGTAAAATATGCATTACAAAAGAGAGATTTTTAAAACCCAATGCACAACATAGGTAAGAGTTTGGTTCATAGCACGTGTAGCGTGTGGCATTGCGTGCAATGCGTGCGCGTGCGACATATGGGGAGCGGTGGTGTAGCGGTTAGCGCTACGCTGCGCTACGAACCTGGCAACCCGAGTTCGATTCCCGATCACGGACCAACACCCAGTGACGATTGTCTGAACCGGTCCTGGGCCTCCCCTAGGTCGACTCAGCCTCAAGTGAGTACGCGGTGCGGTGTGTAAACATCGCCACTGGAGAGACAAAGGCGGCCGGGCGTGCTGCTGGCCACCCACCCCCTCGTGTGCCGTGCCGGCCTTCATAGGTGCTACTCGCTAACAGCACTTGCCTCTACATTCTGTTCAGGCGACGCGGGGGATTTCGGGCTGCTTTCACAGCGCGATGTCACTGCACGTCGTGTTTCGTGCGCTAACCACGACGACCTCTGCTTCCCCATTCGCATTATAACTTGAACATATTCATATAATCTCACGTGTAAATGCATACTTTGTGTCGCCTTTACTGATCATTGATCATTTACCATCGTGCTTTGATTTCATTCTTATTTTACACCCTTGTTAAACAAACTATGCAGTGCTGTAACGAGGTTGTGTTTGTCGCCGCGTGGACGTGTGCGCTGAACTCTGCCGTCGTCCCTGCATAAAGCGAATCGTGCCGCTCGCGCAAGCCACGACGAACGAGCGCAACGAAATCCGAAATTAACACTTCCGTCGCATAAGCTGTGCATTTGAAAAAGAAGAAAGACGTGGCGCTGCAATGCATGCGCGCTCGCTTGTGTGATGCATATGCAGACCGGCATGACGCACAATGCGTGCGCATTTGTCACGACTTGGACGATGCTGCTGCTGCCTGCTCCTCCACGGCACCGTGCCAGCGCAGACGTCAACCCCCCCACTAACACCCATCAAAGACAAAGATCCCCCGTATAGCCTTAACATACGGTTGGGGCAAGTGCTGTTAGCGAGCACCTATGAAGGCCAGCAAGGCACACGAAAGGGTGGCCAACATCCACGCCCGGCCGCCTTTGTTTCCCCAGTGGCGATGCTTACACATAGCACCAGGTACTCATTTGAGGCTGAGTCGACCTAGGGGAGGCCCAGAATCGGTTCAGATTATCGTCACCGGTGGTGGCCGTGAGCGGGAATCGAATCCGGGTCGCCAGGTTCGGAGCGCAGCGTAGCGCTCACCGCTGCACCACCGCTCCCCCCGCTACCACCCCCCACTACTACCCCCCCCACACTACCACCACTCACTACCCCACCACTACAACCCTCCGCTACCACCCCCCACTACCACCCACCCCTCACTACTACCCCCCCCACTACCACCCCCCCACTACCACCCACCACTACCACCCCTCACTACTACCCCCCACTACCACCCCCCCACTACCACCCCTCACTACCACCCCCCACTACCACCCACCCCTAACTACTACCCCCCACTACCACCCTTCACTACTACCCCTCACTACCACCCCCCCACTACCACCCCCCACTACCACCCCCCCACTACCACCCCCCACTACCACCCTTCACTACTACCCCTCACTACCCCCCCCCACTACCACCCTTCACTACTACCCCTCACTACCCCCCCCCACTACCACCCCCCCATTACCCCACCACTACCACCCCTCACTACCACCCCCCACTACCACCCCCTCACTACCACCCCTCACATCCCCCCCCACTACCACCCCCCCACTACCACCCCCCACAACTACCCCCCACTACCACTCTTCACTACTACCCCTCACTACCACCCCCCACTACCAGCCCCCCATTACCCCACCACTACCACCCACCACGACACGACCCCCCCACTACCCCACCACTACAATTCTCCGCTACCCCCCCCCCCCCACTAACACCCCCAACCCCCCACTACCACCCCCCACTACCACCCCCCACTACTACCCCCCACTACCACCCTTCACTACTACCCCCCACTACCAGCCCCCCATTACCCCACCACTACCACCCACCACGACCCCCCCCCCCACTACCCCACCACTACAATTCTCCGCTACCCCCCCCCCCCCCACTAACACCCCCAACCCCCCACTACCACCCCCCACTACTACCCCCCACTACCACCCTTCACTACTACCCCCCACTACCAGCCCCCCATTACCCCACCACTACCACCCACCACGACCCCCCCACTACCCCACCACTACAATTCTCCGCTACCCCCCCCCACTAACACCCCCAACCCCCCACTACCACCCCCCACTACCACCCCCCACTACTACCCCCCACTACCACCCTTCACTACTACCCCCCACTACCAGCCCCCCATTACCCCACCACTACCACCCACCACGACCCCCCCCCACTACCCCACCACTACAATTCTCCGCTACCCCCCCCCCCCCACTAACACCCCCAACCCCCCACTACCCCTCCCCCACGACCCCCCCCGCCCATTCCTTCTTGCGCTCGCGCATTCCGCTGCATTTCAAAAGGCGGCCGAAGGGGGCGGAGACTCCGAGGAAGCCTCTCCGATTGGTCGCCCCCCGGGGTGCGAGGAAGCCGAGCCGCCTGATTGGTCGCCGCGTGTCCGAGGGAGGAGTTTAAAAGGAGCCGTCTTCGCCTCCACTCCTCACACGGCGGCCACCACCACCGCCTCCTCATCATCAGCCTCCTCCTCCTCCTCGCCGCCGCAGTCATCGTCTGACGGCTGTCACCGCCTCGTGTTCGCGTCAGTCTCCGCTGCTTCTTCTCTCGCCTCTTCTCTTTCTCTACCGAGTTGCTCGCGTAGATTTGTTGCAAGTTTTGTTGGGCGGCGGTAGACAGAGAAGGGGGTGAGACGCGGTGAGGTAGCGGCGGGGTTTTTGTTGTTGTCGTCGCGGAGAAAGGCGGAGAAGAAGTTTAACGCGGGCGGAGCAGCAGCAGCAGGGCGCTTCCGACAGCGTGGGGAAAGTTTCCTCTCGTTTTGTTATTTTTGTTGTCGCCGCCGCCGCTGCTGCTGCTGCTGCTGTGACTGCTCTGCACGGAGACGATGAAGAACAAGCAGCAGAAGAACGGTGAGTCGTGCTCGTCCGTGTCTCGGTGACGATGATGATGACGATAATAATCACTCGGATGATGATGATGACCGTAACGTTGCCCCCCCCCCCGCGCGCTTTGTGCTGCTGCTGCGTCGTGTGAACACGAAGAGGGAGGGGAGAGTGGCGTCAACGCGGCTCCCTCGTCTGTCTCGGCGGTCTCCTCCCTTCTCCCTCGTGTGTGTCCATGCCGTCTCTCTCCTGTGTGTCCATGCCGTCTCGTGTGTGTCCATGCCGTCTCGCTCCTGTGTGTCCATGCCGTCTCGTGTGTGTCCATGCCGTCTCGCTCCTCTCTCGTGTGTGTCCATGCCGTCTCCCTCGTGGCCCACGTGGAGGCGAGCTTCTTGCATCGGCTCGTGGTGGCGGGAATGCGGCGTCGATTGTCCTCTCGTGTTTCCCCTCTTCCCTCCTCCCCCACCGATTGCTGCTCCGCTTCTGACAGATGACGATGGCGAGACGGGCTGGGGGAGGCAGGGGGGGTGGTTGTGGTTGTGTGTTTGGTTTTCTTTCGCAGACGACGGACGGACGGAAAGCTTCTAATTTGAGACTGAACAAGGGGCGATTGTATGAATGTAGTTCGTGGTGGGAAGCTACGAGGTGGTTGTCACTTGTTGGCCTGTGACATTGGCTCGGCCGAGTTCACCGCGGGTGTTTGTGAGGTTATTTTGCGTCGTAAGAACGTTGATTGTGGAGAGTAAATTTACTACACTGATGATATCGCTTAAAAAAAAAACTAAAATATGCGTCGACCCACTGCTGGACGAAGTTCCGTGTTTCACGGCTGTCGTTTGACCATACTTCAACACGCTGGTCCGTGCGTGTTGGTGCGAAGGGATGACAAACCTGTTACAGACCAATTCGGACCTTATTGGTCACCCCCGTGCCCTTATAAATCTCAACGTTCATCCTACAAAGTTCCGTCACAAGGGAGAAACAAACGAATTGACAATTTCCGTTTTGCACGTTCAACTTCTTTCGCACCGTACGTAGCCAACCAGCGCTAATCGTGATAATCTGAAGCGACGTAAACCCACCACCAGCTCCCTTGTACACGAACTCGACGTTTCATCACTCAAAACATCTCCGCGACGTGCGTCCTTCCAGTCCTCTCGGGGCGTGTTTACCATTCCTGGGCTGTCACTCCACTCCCGTGTCGCTTCAAGTCTCGGGTGTGACAGTCGCCATCCTGTGTGCCCTGCCCCGATGATTGGTGACTGCCCAGGAAACTAACTATTCATTCCCTTTAACGCCCTTTAGTACCACGCGTGTCGTTCTCTTGAAATGTCTCTCGGAGTAATTCACAGCATGCATCACGCTTGCTGTGAAATTTGCCACGTTTTTTTTACTATTTGCTTTGTCACTAAACAAAAAAAAAGCAGCTGCAGGAAATGAACACTGGTAGATCTGTGTATTTACATGTTACTGTCCTTGGCTCTTTAATGTTTAATCCAAGTGTGGAAAACCCTTAATTTCTAATCTCTCAATTACTCTAAATGGTTTGGCGTGGGTAATTTAGCAATGACCCCTCCGACTAAAAGTGTAAATATGGTCTGTGATAAGTCTCAACTCATCAAGACCGATCACTGTCTTACCCCCATGTTAATTGTGTGGGATAATGCATTGATTCTGCAACTCGTAGAAACATTTTCTGATGGTAATGTGCTTATTCAATACTTTATCTCTGTGTTGTGTGTCGGGTGTTACGGTGTGTTTTTTCTTTGTGCTTCCTTGCTTGTCAATCGCCCACCATTTATGTATCTTCTTGTCACTTTTTTTTCCTCCCCCATCGACAGTCGAGCCACCACCGGGCGACTTACTCTGATGCCCGTGGGGTGTGATTGCTTTTGTTGTAGGCGTGAGCTGCTGCTGCTGGTGCACTGGTTTGAGGTGCATATTGATATGAATGCGAGACGTTTTGTACGTTTGAACTTGTTTGTTTAGCATACTCTTGTATATTCCTTGTTACTGTGTGTGGTTGTCTCATTCTCATGGCATCTCGGCTACGCAGACTTCAGCCTGGGAATAGTATTGGGGCTGCGAGGTGGCCAGGAGTAGACGGTGGTTATTTGAGATGTATGTATGGGTGGATTTTCTCCAAGTGGGCCAAACATACTTCACCAAACATCCCGATGCAATGAGGCTTTCCTGGGTATATCCCTGGAATTAATGCCGCGCTGCATGTATCCCTACATGCATTCAATAGTTAAGCGGAGTCTTGTGATAGCGTTATTTGTCCAAAGAGTAATTGCATTTCGGCTAATACCTGGCAATACTGAAATGTAAAAACTACAAAGTGAATGTAATTTTTTTTTATCATGCAATATTGCCAAATTACATTAATATACATTATTTAAAGAGCTCCTTCATAATCGGACCTGTCAACTGCATCCAAAGTGCATGTGAAGTCTTGTGACAGCCACCTGATCCATGAATTGTGTCCATGAATTGTACGTTCAATTTTGGTTTCTCTCTAGTGCCAGCAAACTAACTTTGTCTGCTTTTCAGTCCGGTAATATGTGGCGCATCTTTATAACGTCATTCAGTTTTTTCCCTGTCTCTGTTTGGAACACTTTCAGCGCACTGAAAAGGACAGGTGCCATCGCAAGGTCAAATGTTAGTGGTGTTCATTTTCCCGTCCCGCTTCTTAACACCTCTTGTTGTTATAATGTGTTTTGAATCATCGCTTAATGTGCACGCTGCCTTGTAATGTGTAAGCTTATGCATCCCCATCATTAACCAAATGAAGGAACTGTTAAAGTATTAAAACTCGAAATTCTATTTTAATCAACTGTTTGCTTTTGGTCGTCCTGTTAAGGTATTTAAGCTAAATATTGATATTATTGTTTAATGAAAGCTTCACAATCTTTCATAAAATGCGGCACTACCAGCTTGATCGTTGCTTGCCTTTCAAAAACCTTTATTGTGATTTAAAACTCGTCTTCGAAGCAAAAATCTTGACATTTATTATTGGGTATTTCATCTGACCAAAACATAAACCTTTTGACAGATTTTCAGGAGTAGGTGTGCATTCAAGTAGTCTTGTGTGGGTGTGTTGGAATGCTTGCCTTGACTTATTTTACAGATTAACCGTGAACTCACCATTTTGCATATCTACACCTGAGTAAATGCTCATCACAGAATCGCACGTGTGCTTTTGCATGTTTGGCATCGCTTGCTGTTTTGACAGTTACGAGTATAATCTGACCCAAGCTGGGTTTCACCTAGGGCATAGCACGTGCGCTGTTTTCGGATGTTGAGGTAAAGATTGCAGTTTTTTTATATTTATTTTCGATTTGTTTTGTATTGCAGAGGCGGCATGCCCAATGGATGAGGTCAAGGCTGAGGACAATCTGGGGGTCAGTGACGAGTCGGGCACGATCAAGCGCAAGCGTGGAAATCTGCCCAAGGAGGCGGTGAGCCTGATGCGCGAGTGGCTCTTGGCGCACCGCTTCAACGCCTACCCGTCGGATGTGGAGAAGATCATGATGATCCAGCGCACGCAGCTCACGTCGCTGCAGGTAAACATGCGGCCAACACCCGTGCATCCCGAGCTGTGTATTCGGTGGAAGTGGTCGATGTCGTTCAGATGGTGTGGTGGTGGTGGTGGTGTACGCCTGCAGGTCCAGTCATTTAAAACGGTGGCGGGGATGTGGGGGGTTGATTAACGGATCGTACAGAAATTGTGACACGCCCAAGCACGCTGGGCTGCCAGGTTGCCAGGAATGGAATGTTGCCACTGTGGGGCACGGTGACGAGATGTTCACTACCTCACCCTGGTGCACATTATGTCGTGGGTTCGACCCTGACGCCTATATATTTGGTGTCTGCATGTTCTCCCCGTGGTCGCGTGGATTTTCTCCGGGTCCTCCGGTTTTCCCCTCCAACATCACGAGTATAAATTTCCACATGAGAAGCCACTTTGTTGAGCTATCATTTGTGACCAGGTCTTTCTGAAAAATAGCTATATAGCTTAGTGGGCCTGACCTGGTCAAATTAAAAAAGTTTATTTTAGAATGTCAGTGTTGATGGAAGAGTTACCTCTTCCCACATGCCAAACGCTCATATACATGGCATTGACCAAAACTTCCTCATGCAGGGTATTAACTCGGTGAGCGATTCCTGGATAAATAATGTGCATCCTGGATAAATAAAGAGTATAGAAATGCAATTAAATATGTTAGTTAAGTCAACAAATTTAAGCGGCATTTATTTAGAACCAAAAATTATGAATGCTGCCTGCGTACCAATGTAAATTGCTAATAGATACGTTGTGACTTTCTTAACTGCCAAACATATCAATTAGATATAGTGCCAAAGATTTGGTTGAATATATGTATTTGTACAGTGTGAAAAGGTTACAAAAGCATGTTGTAACTTTTAACAAGTCGTGGTCCTTGTGATCTTATCCATCTGGCTGATTCTGATGGATCTTACGTGATTTTGACTGAACTGATGCATGATTTTCAAGCACTTGCATGTCATGGACATTGCAAGCTGTACACTCCAAAAACTATAACACATTTTTGTCCGTTCTCTCTTGAGAACCACTTACATAAAATAAATGTGTAAATAATTCACTCAAATTAAACACAATACCTTGCTCGTCTCGTCAAGGAGCATAACCCACCACGCAAACTTTGGTCATCCTCGCAACGACTTTGCTAACCATGCAACAAATCTATATTGGAAACTAATTTCTTTAGAACTGCTTTCTCTGTTTTGGTTTGTCCTTCCCCTACACCCCCCCCCCCCCCCCATTTAGCACGGTTGGCTACATATGGTACGAAATAAGTTCAACGTACAAGCATACAAAATGTTTGTAATTGTATCTATTTGTAGTTTAGCAGAATCATACAAGTTTATCGTAGCTTTGAGTTCTTCCAGTTAGCTTGCAAGCAAGTCACAGCTGACAGAATGACTGCAACGTGCAGTGTCTTTTTGGCGCAGTGTACCACAATTACTTTTCATGCTTTCAAGAATCCCTGAATTCTTTAAAACAGGTTTAAACTCTTTTTTTTATCAAGCAGCTGTTCTTTTGTTATTCTTAGTGTAATGAGATTTGAGGTAGGCAGAAGCTGGGCAGGGTGGTTGGAATTTGGTGGCAAGGGGCGGATAAACACGATTTTAACTTTGGGCATTCTCAAGCGAGTGTTTGAAAGATTCAGTGTCTAAGTTTGGGTACGTGTTTTAAGTGCTAAGAAACAGGAAAGAATACAGGAATCGCCTTAAACCACGACATGGGGGGTTGCTTTGAAGTGAAACAATTAAAACCACACATACTGACCAAACACTTTCCGTGTATGACTACAGCACGGTACTTGTCATTTTTGAAAGCTGCATCGCATTGAGACGTGCTTAGCTTGAAGAGAGGTGAGTGTAACGTTTCAAATTGTAACTGTTGAATCAAGTGCTAGCATTCATCTGGTGATCGATTCTCAGTGGTATTCAAAAAACTAATTGATAGTTAACGTACTGTAATTAGGTAAAACCCAGCAATTGCGGTATGGACATTGGTTTGAATTAAGTGCAGGAAGGGACATGATGTTGTATCTTTTGACTCCAGGCATAGCAGATGGAAAAACCCCCATTGACATGAACACAAACGCCCACAATCAATTAAGCCAGGTTGAAATGTAAGAGTGCATGGGTTGAGGGCACGGAGAAATGGGGTGTCTTCAAGTGTAACCCAATACTAAACAATCACTTTATTATGTGTTTAGAATTTAGGGATTTTGTTAAGTAGCAAGAGAATTATCACTGAAATCCCTAGATAGTGCTTATGTTTTGGCATGATTGTTTATATATATTAGTTGCATTTACAAAAGGAGCAGGCACATTTTTAGAACGTGTTTGTTTACATACGTAACGTGGTGGCTGCAGTTAGAAGGTTAAATAAACATGCCGTAACGTTATCTGGACAGCGCTGCTGCTCGCTTACCAGTCCACAAGTCCATGACGACATCAATATTGCATCCCGGTGTATGCCCAGCAGTAGTTAACATCTGGAAAAGCTCTCGGCCCTCAATGTGGCAAGAGATAGAATTGCCATGCGTTACACAAGACGGCGGTGACAGCTTTGATGGGAGCCCTGCTCTGGCCAGCGGCCAGCAGTTCCTAGAATGTCGACCAACACATTCTAGTCCAGATATGTCTAGACGTCGTGTCTGTGGGAGGGGCACTTGTCTGTATAGTAAATGCATTGGTTTCAGGGGATGTGCCATCTATAAAAATGGTTTGAGACAGTGGTAGTGGTAAGACTTCTTTTATTAAACGCTTACAGTGAAAACAGGCCATGTTGGTGACTAGAGGGTAGTTTTTTTTACCTGTTTTTATATTAAAAAACAATGATCCTTCGTAATTTTTCATTTACAAATAATCAATGCAAGCAATACATTGTCTTATTTTTCAACATTCATGATTTCTGCAAAAAAAACTATTATTTTGCATATTTTCTCATGTCACAACTTAATTGTGGAGGGTTTTAGTAAAACAATACATTGTACCTGCACAATCTAATCAAATGGTAATTAATTATGAATCCTATTGGTCATGAAAACATACTTGTGAAATTAATATCTCCCTCCCCATAATCTCATCGGCCACACGTTTATAGTGATTCCTGTGCACAAGTAAGCATGGCACCGTGGGTGGTTCTGCTGACAGTTAAGGGGCAGAGGAGATTGTGCAGGCAGGAGGGGGGGACCACGCTGTTTGGTGTTGTGAACACGACGGCTTGCACACAAAAAAAAACCACTGCCAAGCAGTGCTGCTTTGCTTGTGGGTTTACTGTCTGTGAGCTGTGGGATTCTAGGACTCGCATGCACACTGCTGGACAGATGAGGCTTTTGTCACCATTTATAGCAAAGCACGGTTGGCTACGTACGATACGAAATAAGTTCAACATCCATAAATACTTCCAATGCAGTACAGTAGTTGTACATTTTTTCATAATTTCTATGACCTGCAACTTAACCACAGTGTCACATGTTAAAAGCTTTCACTTCCATAAACGGCATTCGTTTTTTCTGTTGCACATACTGACCTGATCTTCACCAGAGATAGATGTAGGTCGTTTAAGATATTGGCCAGCACAAGATCTCCGTGAAAAATGTATCTGTCGTTGTTGCAGAAAATGCTATTTAATTAATGCTACTTATGAGGAGTGCCAGTTTGCAAAGAAATTGGACTTGTCCAAATACCTTGCAGTAGCATCTGGTGATGGCCAGGAGTGTTTAGTCTTTTTCTCGGTGTGCTTTCCTCTCGGCTTTACCAATCAGACATGCCTGTTCTCGATTAATGATTAACGTGCAATTCAATGTTCAAATAAAGCACACTTTGTTGGTGTGTGGAGGTCAAACGTTCTCAAGTAAAAACATGTTCATTCATAACCATTGAGCAGTATCTTCCCCGACACGTGTTAGCGAGTGTGTGGTGGTAATTGTGACGGGTCGCATCGCAGAGGTATTGTTTTGAGTGACCAAATGGACTTACAGTATTTAGTTCGACAAACAGTAATGGGTAGGACAATTAATTAATAGTTTATTTTGAAAACACATCGATCCTTCTTTTTTCTCCTGAAATGGCATAGTGTTCATTCTGTTTCTGCATGACTACATCGCAGTCAACTCCCACGTGTCTTTGCTTGGTAACGAAACCTCTGCCCCTGCAACTCGGAAACAGGAAGCGCGAACCTGGCATTGTTTGAGAAAGTCGTACATAAACCGATGTTGGTTAATGATTTTTAATCAGACATTGATGAAAAGTTTTGCAAATTAAATTTTCATATTCCAAATACAAATGTAAAGACTTGTAAAACAATTACGCAATTCCAAAAAAAAACCGCTAAATGAATGTAAATTGTATGTAATTAACCAAGTTTTTCTTTTAATTTCTTTACAGGTTTGCAACTGGTTCATAAATGCTCGTCGTAGGGTGCTGCCCGATGTTTTGCGCATGGAAGGTGAAGACCCGGCAGATTACGTGGTGTCCCGAAAATCGTCCGCTAGGACCACTGCACGGCAGTTGGCGCTTCGCTGGAACAGCCATGCTGCCGCAGGTATGTCCAACGGGCTGCCCTTCACTATGGAGCACCCCACGTTTGCACTGCCACTGATCGACCGCGAAGTGACGGTGGCTGCCGTCAGGCCGTCCAACAGCAGGGTGCTGCGCCCCTCCGTGATCCAGCACACCACCTCACCGCTGCCTGTGCGTTCCCCACCCAGTTTTATGGCTGACCTTCCCCACAACCGGCTGGTCAACTACCTCTTTGACGCTGTCATCTCCGAGCGCCAGTACTTGAAGGATAACGGCGGCTCTGTCAGCCCAAACTATGCGACCGCTTACGCAAACATCTGCGACAGTGGCAGCAACAGCAGCAGCGGGATTAGCACCAGCAGCAGCACAAGCAGCACCCCAATTACTTTCCAAGATTTTCCGTTGGACTACAGCTCTCCGAAATTGAACCCTTATGACACCGAGACATACAAAACCATTTTCCACAACAGCGCTTCGCCTGTAAGTCCAGCGGATATGCCTGCAGGTCCACCGGACTTTGCCAACCTCTGTATGCTTGCTGATGTAGCTGTGGAGCAGGCTATGTACCTTGGAAAGTGTTCCAAGTTTTAGGCACATGCATTGCCGACCTACTGGTGAAGTGTGGCAGCTTTTCATTGGTCTCATGCAGGTTGGGATTTGTTCCCCTTGGATCAGACCAACAGCACTTCATCCAATGGGTAATGGCAAGGGGATTTTAAAAAAAATTGATCGTCAACAATACATGACCACCGATAAGTGCGATCTTTAGTTTTTTTTCTCTTAATTGTTTCCATTTACAGCGACTGAACAAATCAAAGGTTTAAACAATGCAAAGCTTCGTGCTAAATTTTACAATGATACAGCCACCTTTTGAACATCTTTCTGTTCAACAAAACCCCCAAAAATGCTTTTGACATTCCTGTGCACTATTAGGTGTATACCACTACACATCTATTTTATTAACGAGTTACACAAAACAAAGCATATAGACAATATTCTTACAATACAGACTATGCACTGCATGGTATTGAAACTGGTGTTTTTGAGGCACATGGTCCAGATAAATGCAAGCTTGTCAGATGTTTGTTTTCATTTAGTTTCAAGTGCAGTGGAGTTTTTTTCTCACGTGCAAAGTGTGCCTCTAGGTCGGTTGGTTAGTTACAACCGGAATAGAAGTATTATCGTATGCAACGCTCTGTGCATTTTAACTTTAATGTCTAAATAGTTTGTTAGTTTTAGGCGTAGAAGTTTTTCATAGTTTAAGTTGTCGTCGGCCTAAAGTGCATTTCTTGAGTATTTTTTGCATGGTTTCTTAATTTTAAGGTAGTTGAGCAAAACTAAAAAAACTGTGAGCATGGCAGCCTTTAGTAAATTTATAAAAGAAAATTGGGCTTCTCAAATCTCACGTGTGGCACAGTTGTGAACACGGTTTGTATGTTGGGAGTTTTAATAAATAGGTCCAAAAGTAACCCCCTCTTTCTTTTATAATGTATAAATGCTGCCATTTCCCTCGCATAAAAAAACATTTTTTGCAATGTAACTTTAACTTTTTTTTATACTGAATTGTGATGCTGCATATTGTTAAGTATTTGTATATTTAGTTTTTTTGTTTAAATACCGTTGTAGTCACTTTGCGTCCCAGTGGCTCTGTTTTCATCGGGGTGATGACGTTACACATTGATGCTGACTATTATGGATCATGAGCTTAAAATATTTGATTTTGAGTAAAAACGTAAAAATTTAAGTAATTAAAATGCTTGGGATGATACTTTGAGGTTAATTTTAACATTTAAGTCAATATTAAAATGTTCAGACACAATCTGTCTCTCTTGGGTCGACAGACATCTTTTTTAAATCTTGGTATTCAAGCACCTTGATTTAGTTATGCATGGTCCAATACAATGGTCCTCTTAACGTTTGGGTCATTTCCATACGGTATTGTTTTCAAATCGACATGCACACTTGGAAACCTGTCACCTACCTTGTGCAAGACTCGTTGCGCAAATCAGATTAGTGTTGCAATAACTTTCAATCTGCTCCACGGTGAAACTGGCAAACTTTCTGGATGTACTTTACACTAATCATAACGGTACTTGTCTTGCACTGCACAGTGGAAACCAAAAAATGATGAGGGTTTGTTGTGTTAATGTTGCTTACTTGGGCAGTTTTTTTTCTTGTCATTTGATAAATACTGCGTAACAGTTGTACTGTATTTATATTTAAAAGTAAAGTAATTTGTTTTTTGCATATCTTTTTGACCATTTATTAAATATAACCCATCTTCCGAGTGTCATTAATAACCTTTTTTTGTAAAGTGTATTAAGGTTATCTTTTTAATGTGCACATTTGGGCCAAGCTACATTTTATGCTAAGCCGTAAACATTTAATTTATTTTTTGACATTACTTTTTCATAGCGGACTTTGAATGTGCCCATTTTAAGTAGATGGTGTTGTCTGGCCAGCATGTTCATATAATACACTGCATTACATAATTTGAGTCTTCATGGGTAGCATATACATATATGCATCATTATATACTTGTTATGTATGCAGTGACGCCTCGTGAAGTGATCCTATAAATGTTAATGTGTAGCTTTTTCAATCTGATTATAGCGGTTGACTATACTTGACGGTTGCTTGTTTTTAGGTTAGTTTTTGTTAGTTATTTAGATTAGTTTCTGAGTTTAAATTAAAAGGGAGTGTTTTCCAGGGGTAAGTGTTTTAAGTTGATGGTTTTTTAAAATAAACTACCTCGCTGTCGTGGTTTATTTTTTTTCTGTTTAATGGGCGATGAATGTTTCCATGGGTAAATGATGAAGAATGGTGAGCACCTGTGTGCAAACATTAAAATGTATGGGTCTCATGGAAATGCAATAGTTTGACGTTTAAGAAGTAGACTTAAAAGCAAACCTGCTGGAAATGTATGGAAATTGCTGTGTTTTCCTTTTTAATTCAGAACTTGAATTTATTATTTCGTGTTGTCGAAGTTTCACTGCATTATGCAATTGTCATTGTCTCCGTTGTTAAATTAACGGTAAACAGAAGCAAACTTGCGTATGCTGCAATAGGTGGAAATTAGGTAAAACAATTCCTTGATTTTCATTCTGTGGTTATAAATGATGAACACCTGTTTAATTTTCATCAGTGATAGACATTCAGGTGTTTGACCATTTTTTCGGGATATCATGTTAGAAATGTGAGTAATGTAAGAAGACTAAATGGAGCAGAGTGCCTTACTTTTATGCAAACATAAAATAATTTGCCAATCTACAACAATGTGAATGTGTGTTCAGCCTAAACACTACCAATTGATCAAATTCAGTTTGTTAATAGTGTTTGTGGTGTCGGTTTGATATGCCCCAATGTAGCCTTAAATGTTAAATTCGTTCAGTACTGTGTGCACATGATTGCCATCTGAAAGCTTATCACGTGTGCTGGATGTACTTAATTACATGTTACATCCTATTCTGTGCATATGGTTTGGACATTTTAATGTTGTTTATAACAAGTCACCTTGTCCCCATACTTAATAACCATTGTGGCCTTTAATAGTATGTGTGTGCGTGTATAAATCCAGTACCAGTATAGATGAAGCACAACACTGGGAAGACTGTGAAGACTGATTTAGTTGGCTGGATGTGACAACTCATTGAGCTGTGCAATAACTGCCTTCAGGTTGCAAGGGTTTATAATGCTTTTCTACATTTTTTTTTCTACTGTAATGGAAGCTTTCCTTCCAATTGTTTGTAAACTGTGATTTTTAAAAATGAGAATTATCATTGCTGTATTTTTACGTTCAATAAAAGTTTCAAAACGATAAAGAGTCCGTTTTCGATGATTGGTTGAACAATGTGATTTTGTGCCGTGGTATCCGCCTTTCAATAACACACTATTCACATTAAATCACGTATCTTTGAGCAATAATGACATTAATTGTCTAAGTGATATCTGAACTGACCACGTAAATATGTTTGCGGAAGGCCAATGACTGGCACAGCATAGGGTGGCCCTCGCTCTGTTGTGGATTGACCAGGCGTTGTAAATTATCATTAACACGTGCTTTATCGATGTATTCGATGTTACGTAGGCTCACCACAAAGCACACTCCCTCTATAGCGAATTGATAGACTCAAGTTAGTATTCATAATTGGGGGCAATTAATTTTTTTGAGAGCGGTATTTTTTTTTACTATATAACTTACTAAAGTAGCTACTTGAGTTAAATGGCCGACTTGTTTATTATGAAACCTTTTGCACTTTAGTTGCCTTTACTGCCTTCAGTTTCCACACTTGTCTGCAGCAGTCAAATAGTACAACGTGTGATTGTCAACCGGCTCTGTAAAGAAGGGGGGACGTGAGACTTATTTTCCCATTGCCGCTGTGTTGCATGGGGGGGGGGGGGGAGTCACATGACCGAAACGTTCTCGCAAAACATTCAGCAGCACCTGAAAGGTGAAGTGACATTTTTATTGGCCTGACGCTGGACTGTGACCTGCCAGACGTATATCCATTAAACTCCTGAAGCTGCTCACTCAGACAGGCTCCAGTCGCAGCTGGGTGCTGTTTCTGTTTGCTCATAGTTATCATGGATCCTTGCTTTTGTTTTGTTCCGTGCTCTGCACGTGTCTTAGGGAACTTTCCATAGCTCACGTCTGGGTAATTTTCTATCGCGAGGCACAAATAATTATCTTTGATTTTAAGGTTCACTTTTTTCTTTTTAAAACGACGCAAGTTGCTTTTGTGATTTGTGGGAAATTGGTGTTCGGTTGAGGAAGTTAAAAACCGCAAATCTGAGAGTTGTTGATCAAGTAGGTTTATAAATACAGCTGCACACAACTCATGTCAGATTCCATCAAATGTATTTGCATAAATGTGAGGAATTAACAGGCTGCGCATTCGCATACATTTAGCATAAACTATTAAAAACGTAACGTTTTTATTTTACCAGGTCGGGGCCACTGAGCGATTTTGCTCTTTTTCAGCAGTGACCGGGCCACGAATGATAGCTCTGAGTGGCTTGTGTGAAAATTTATCGCAGCCAAATACTCAAAACGCATGTTTCTAAATGTGGAGGGGAAAACCCGAGGACCCGGAGAAAAATCCACGCGACTACGGGGAGAGAGACACGCAAACTCCGAAATACACCGCAGCAGGCGTCAGGGTCGGGATCGACCCCACGACCTCCTGTAGACCAGGCGAGGTAGTCAACATCTCCTAGCCACCGTGATGATGAGAGAGACGCAAACTCCAAATACACAGCAGCAGGCGTCAGGGTCGGGATCGACCCCACGACCTCCTGTACACCAGGCGAGGTAGTCAACATCTCCTAGCCACCGTGATGATGAGAGAGACGCAAACTCCAAATACACAGCAGCAGGCGTCAGGGTCGGGATCGACCCCACGACCTCCTGTAGACCAGGCGAGGTAGTCAACATCTCCTAGCCACCGTGATGATGAGAGAGACGCAAACTCCAAATACACAGCAGCAGGCGTCAGGGTCGGGATCGACCCCACGACCTCCTGTAGACCAGGCGAGGTAGTCAACATCTACTAGCCACCGTGATGATGATGATGAGAGAGACGCAAACTCCAAATATACAGCAGCAGGCGTCAGGGTCGGGATCGAGCCCACGACCTCCTGTAGACCAGGCGAGGTAGTCAACATGTTGCCACCGTGGCGGTCCAGTTAAAGGTGCCGTTTCCCTGTCAAAATACAGCGATGTGATTGAAAGTAACAACATTATTGTATATTTGAACGTGTTAAATTCGTAACTTTCCCTGCGGTTCCCTTTAACCTGCGCAAAAGTCATATAATGTGTGTCCTGTCACTCGGCATTGATACATGTACAGTGCTGTCACTCGCCCTTTTTGTCACGTTCACGGTGACGAATGAAGCCTCGGGGCTCATTTTCTCCTGAAGCCGGTAACTACATCACTCATTACCACAACATGACTCGCAAAATTGCCGGATCAAGAGCCCCACATTGACGGGGTGAGTTTGCCGATGCCCTCCCTGGCAGTCCGTCAGCTGCTGCGGCATTGCAGGTGCTGTCAATCGCCAACTCATTGCTGATTGTCTGCTAATAAATGAAGTTGAACTGCTGAGCTTATCCCGTGGACCGGGTTTTTAACGCAGCGCATGTCGCCTCGTGGAATGCGGGACGAGTTAAAATCCACAGCCGGGCTGATTCACCGCCGCATGGACTCGCTCAGAACGAGGGAGGCACAGACACAAGTTGTTGTTGTTGTTGTTGACGCCCCGGTCATTGATTCGTACGGGAAGGCAAGAACTGCCGCTTTTAAAAGACGATGTTTTGATATTCTAAACCTGATTCTGTGTGCACATTCGCAGTTCTAAGTTGGCGAAGTGTAATATGTCTCGGTGCGTTATAACCCTTGTACCCTTCGACTTTAATTCTTGCAGACTGGCAGCTGCCACAAACCTGAAGGGCAGGGGTGGTGGGACTCCGTGTTCAAAGGTCTGGCTCTATTCGTGTATAGTTAACCACAGGAGGAAGCCATCGACTCGTGTGTCAAGACCGGCATCCTCCCCCAACCCACCCTGCTCTTCCCTCCGCATTGGACGTGCTGGTCCTTGTGTATTTATGGGATCATAGAGCCTCCTGCTGGCTGTGAATAAACACTGTTATGGAGTTTCACAATGCACAAGCAGACGGACAACACGCTCCCTTCCCAGCGATATATTTGTCTCCACGTCAACAAGTGCGGTGTCTTGTTTCTTTTTAAATCCTTTATATTAAGTTCACTTGCTTGCTTGCGCGCTTACAACCGTGCAAATCTTTCGGTCGTTTTTTAACCCACTTCCCGTGATCCAATCGAGCTGACATTTTGCACACAGACTCGTTGTGCGTGACAATTTATTTTAGTGAAAATTTTTTTCCATAACTTTACACTTTTTAGGATTTTGTTAAATATTTAATTACCAATTGCTTAATGGTGGCAGGCAATCATCTGACCCATAGGTGGCAGCCATCTCAAGCCAGAGGAAGAGAGGACTCTAGCCGCCACGCATATAAAGGATTTATAGTGAAAAACGTTGTTTTTACGGGTTAATTTTTTGCACATTCCATCAGACACACGTCTTGCTTGGGAATGCCATTATTTCAGCAGCATTGCTTCAACAGTGTCAAGGCGATCGGTATCACCTTGGCATCTGCTGCTGTCACTTCTCCGAACGCTAAACGAATCTTATTTAGGGCTCGCTTAGCTTTAATCTGAGAGAATAAGACTGCTCCGATTTGAACTTGACAATTTAGACAAGGCCCTCTTACAATCACACTTATCATATACAGATAAAATGTGCACATCTGATTATTGGGACCACGTAGATAACAGTTCCATCAGCTACTTCAATGTCAAACAAATTATAAAGTTAATCTGATTGATACATTTCAACCTCCTGTCAAAAACGAAACCAGAGCCACACATTAAAAAGTTAGATGTTAAAAATCTTTATAAGTAACATGCCTCAGCAGATTCCCCCTCTTTTTCACCTGAAGACGGTTGCTTCTGTCGCGATCGAAACGTCGTGCTACCAACGTGGCTTTACCGAAAGAACCAAAGAGTATCCAGTATCTCGTCAAGCAGTCGGTATTCATTGGGCTGATGATGAACTGCCAGATGTTTATAGCCACGGACCTTCGCTGTTAGTTCTATGTGAAATGAGTATGCGTAAGGGGCCGTCCATAAATGACGTCACGCGATTTTGGACGATTTTTGACCCCTCGTCACACGGCGTCACAAAAAGTCAGACCCCCCCTCAAATATGACGTCACAAAGCTCTGCCCCCCCCCCCCCCAAAAAAAACATGCTTCAAATCGCTTTAAACTATTGTCATTGTAGTGCGTATTTAATGTGGCGCTGCACTCCAATGTTTGTAGGAGAAAACATTTATTGAAAAGTTTAATTAAGTAGAACGTGTTGTCTATATTTATTTAAATTTGCACATTTTTATGTGACGTCACATTTCTCACCCCCCCCCCCCCTCGTTACACATCGTCACAAATGTCTGACCCCCCCCCCCCCCTAGGTGCGTGACGTCATTTATGGACGGCCCCTAATGCCTCCCACTAAATAATCATTAGCGGCGTGCCACGTAATGATCTGGCCAATTCAACACCGCCAGAAAGAGCCGAAATACATTGCCACCTTTAAAAGCGTTTAACGCGCCAATTGTTGCTCTGGGTTCACAGGAAGGTTCGGGAACAAATCTCATTCATCAATTAGATTCGACGTTTCGCTTGAAAGTGCGTCAAGCATCTTCAGGTCACGAAATCAGAAAGTCAGAATAATAATTAGCGCTGTGAATTCTTATAAACGAGACACTTTAAATTGTTCAGCTGTGTCGTCGGGTGGTGGGAGGGTCCTACAACACACACGTATCCAGATCATCAGGTGGCCTAACTCAAGCGTGAGTTGTGCATTTAGAACTTTAATTGATCTCATCCAAACTTCTGTTCAGAGTTCATCGGATTCCTCCAGTGGCAAATCAGTATCGATTCTGGTATCGGGGGTATTTCACGTCGGTGTCGTTGACATCGATTCCCATTATGTCGCCACGTGAAGTTAAATCGAGCTCCGTAGAATCGATCCACTGCAGCCACCACGTTAGAGGTAATCGGGAAGCCTTTTTAGGAATCGATTCCTAAATGACGCGATGTTGTTGGAGTCGCGTGACAGGGCGACGTGATGAGAGTTGACTGCTGTTGGGACTCGCTCGGGTGACCGATTTTAATTTATTGAGAGTTTGTTTTACTTCTTCAATGTAATTTAAACGCCGCTTTTAGTTAGTCGCTAAATTACCACCTTTCAAGACTGCCCATTCAGTTGTAAGTACTCGAGTATACGGATCATTTCATAATCGTATGAAAGTCAGCCGAAAAATGCGTCGATTTTACGCGTTATACGTTTGAATAACTTGTTGTTGTTGTACTCGTGTGGCAATGGAATGTGCTCGAAGATCTTTAAGAACGCGAACACAGACCAACAACAAAGTGTGATTGATTCTTGCGTCGGACGAACGTGGGAAATTTGGCATTTGCATTTACTAGAGCGCATCGGGGTCGGCGGCGTCATGCTCGCATCCCGATTGGCCGAGGCGTGCGCGTGACCGCTCGAAGCTGCGATCCCATTGGTCCACTCGGAGGGGGGGGGGGGGTACCGGGCACCGTCGCTTTCCATTGCGCTGGGGCCCATGCGTTGTAGGAAATCCAACGGCGTCTCGCATGTTGCGTAACCACGCGCCCAGTGCACGTGCTGAGTGATGTGCAACCGCACACTTCTTTAGTCTCTCAGCCAGCTAAGGCCCCGCTCAGATAGATAGATATAGAGAAGCTGCCTGGCCATCGCAAGTGCTCAACGCTGTTGGGCTTACGCAGTCGGCGTGGATATAAACAAGCAGCTGATTGTTGAGTTTCCACGTGGAGGGGGAGAGGGGGGGGGGAGACATCCACGGGGAGAGGGAGAGACGCCGGTCGGGGTCGGGGTCGAACCCACACACCTCCTGCACACCCGGCGAGGTAGTGCACATCTCGCCACCGCTGCGAGTGTGGATGAAGGCCTCCCACCCCCCCCCCCCCCAAATGTTGTTGCTGTGGATTTCACACCTGATGATGATTGCTTGTGTTGCAATCGAAACGTCGTGAGAATTTTTTTCATTTTCCTTCTACGTGGTTTTACCGAAAGAACCAAGCATATGAATCCCTGCAGCCACGGAAGCTTTAAATCTAAATGTAAGGGAGCTGTTGTTGGACCGTAATCCCATATTTGACTCTCTCCCGGTCAACGTGAGTTCATTTGAAGACATCACTAACTCTCTCGCCACTCACTAATGTCACCAGCAGCACAGGAGTGGCAACCCTTCTTGTATGGCCTGGTTCATCTTATCGCAGTGGGCTATAAGGGGCCGTCCATAAATGACGTCACGCGATTTTGGACGATTTTTGACCCCCCCCCCCCTTCGTCACACGGCGTCACAAAAAGTCAGACCCCCCCCCCCTCAAATATGACGTCACAAAGCTCTGCCCCCCCAAAATAAAACATGCTTCAAATCGCTTTAAACGATTGTCATTGTAGTGCGTATTTAATGTGCCGCTGGACTCTGATGTAGGAGAAAACATTTATTAAAAAGTCTATTTAATTAAGTAGAACGTGTTGTCTATGTTTATTAAAAGTTGCGAATTTTGATGTGATGTCACATTTCTCACCCCCCCCCTCTCGTCACACATCGTCACGAATGTCTGACCCCCTCCCCCAGGTGCGTGACGTCATTTATGGGCGGCCCCTAAGCACTGCGCTACCGCACCGCAACCATCGTTAAAATACCGTCCACTCGTACAATAATTGTGCCCAAGCAGGCGTGATGGGGACATTTTGACAATATTGCATTTTAAATAAGTACATAGGCGACTGTTGTTGAGATAACCCCGCTCCTGCGATGCTGTGGCCGGTCTTTGACCCCCCTTGATGGTTGAACCTTAAACAAGGTTGTTGAAAATAAGCAGGGGACAGGGCAGCAATCTCCATCCTTGTACTGCATTTCCATGCCGAGGGGTATTGATGCTGTGCCTGCCTCCACCGGCACGCACTGACCAGCGTGGTGAAGTATGGTCAAATAACCCCCCCCCCCCAATCCAACAGTGGCTTGATAAAGAGCAATTACACCTGGCAGTACACTCGTATCAAAAACCTACTAGATTGTCTCAATGTCATTTGTTGTTACTGACATTGGGGTGACAGACCTTAACGATTTATTGGTTTGATGTTGGGCTTTAAATACACACTCATACACTACTTACATAACCTGTTACCGTAATAGATATCAGTCGCAGAAATGTGGAAATGTCAGTAGAGTTGGTCATATCATTTTACATGACAATGTACATGCCTCTTGTTTTCCTTTTGTGAACTATTTATCTAGATCACAACTTTGCAGGCCATATCCTTGTCCCGTTAATTGCTACATATAAGGAAGCTGTCAAAAGCATAATACTTTACCGGTTTCCAGAAGCAGCATGTATGTACTGTAGTTTATTTGGCAAGTGGGGTCCCACCAGTTCATCACATCAAAATCCACGAGTTTCTCACATCTAAACTGGTGGAATCCCATCAGCTTTAAGCCACAAAGGCATCCAAGTGTTATTCACGAATGGGTTTGTAATTGTAACCTGCACACAATGCCCATCTGCACAGGCAAACAGTGTCATGTCGTGTGTTTTTTAAAGGTGCACGTGAATTATCTAGTAGCGCATGTCTTTTTGATCACACAATAAGGCAGCTATTGAGCAAACGTTGTCGTGAGACTTCTAAAATGTAAACTTGGGTGAGCTTAATAAATAACGTGCTGATTATGTAATGCATCAGCGTAATACTGTAAATAAAATATTTGACCTTCGTGATACATATGGTCTTGAGCCACTTACAAACATGTTTGATCATTGCCTGATTAATCGTAACTGAAATGAATTTACTTTAAATAGTTGTATGTGTATTGAGTGTTATTAGAGTGGTGGTGACGGCATATATTGTTTTGTACACAGTCTGTAGAACCTTCACATTTGGGCATAATAGCCATGGGGCTTGTTTCACAACATCATTGACCTGCAATTCTATCAGAGCTGGCTGGCATGGTGATGGCAAAGGGTTCGTGACAATTCAAGTTGTTGCATGCTATGCTTTCAAATATGCAGTATGGTCATGCATATGCCTGTCAACCCATACGGTTTACCCCGTATTCTTGTACAGGGATTTGAGTTTTCAGGTCCATACAGCGTACAGACGTTTAAATATGGGAAAACAAAAAATGGTCTCTGTGTTTCTCCCTTGTGATGGGACTTTGTAGGATGAACGTTGAGATGTATAAGGGGCACGGGGTGACCAATAAGGTCTGAATTGGTCTGTAATAAGGTAGGCACTGGTAAGGGATTGACAGGTATGAATGGACATGTATACAGGAATTACAAAAATAGATCAGTTCTATGATATTCGTGAAGCCGACACGAGCTGTATATTAGTCGCGCTGTATTATGTACATGTTCTATAAAACCAATGTTGGCTTGTGCTTAAAAGAAGGATTTGCATAATTGTCCACTCTACAGTTTGTTTATGGCTGGACTTGAGACCCCCATTGTGTGTGCGAGGCCACGTGAATGGGGTTCAGTTCTCACGGTCTTCTCGTGCCCACCAGACGACTCATCTTGTACCCGCTGTGTGTGGAGGCAGCACGCCACTTACATTTGACGTGAGAGTGGTACAGGTTCGGTGTTATTTGAAATGTAAATGACCTAAAGCGTTTAAGGCAGAGTTTAGTAGAGTAGATAGATCGATTATCCAGCGGTTTCGGGTCGGAGGCGGCGGATTTTCAAAAAACGCCGGATAATTCACTAAATCATGATTTAAAATCTGCTTATTTTTGCACATGCTTGTACGACGTTATGTTTCTAGGTGTTGTTGCATGTTTGTGTATTCAATTTGTTTGCGATGTGAAATTGGCGTGACTAAACTTACAAATGGGCAACAAATAAATATCCAACTTTAATCTCAAAGACTCTGCATGGGGTGGTGTATATCCGTGCAGTGTTGTAATTGTCTAAGTTGCTGTGTGTAGTGTATAATGTGCTGGATATGTAATGTAACACTGAAATCGAGCGGAGCTACTTTTTTGTTTGGCACGCACACGTGGCGACGATCGCCGGACTGGTCGCAGCCTCTGGAGCAGTTTTGCCGGATCTGCCCGGCACCGCCGAATAATCATGGAAGCCGGATTAGAAGTGTATTACATTCTTGTCAAACCTTTAATGCTTTTCAATTAATTAGAATAAGAGCTAAGCAGTTGCTCTTTATAGTGAAATTGTCCAGAGTTAGTAAAACATTGTACTTAATTTAAAAAAAATAACGTTATCAATACGGTGTTACCATTTTTTCATATGCCTGTATATGCTAATTTACCTCCAATTTGCCTTTATTGCAATTACCCTTTGTAATATAGCATATTACTCCTTGTAACCAAAACAAATTCCCGTTGCATTTAGTTAAGAATGTATTCATACGGTGATGAAATTCATTAAAAACTTGTTCATCCTTCATTTGCTTTCTGGCGTGGCGAGGCAGAAGATGAAGACGGAAGCTGAAGACGGTCGCGCCGACGGCGGCTTCTTCTCTCTCGACTACGGGGCGTGGGACGTGCGCGTGGCCCTGATCGGAGGCGGCTTTGCGCTCTACTCCTGCGTGTTTCTGCTCACGCACCTCGTCTCCCAGGCGCTGAGCGTCACCTACAACAGCCTGCACTCGCAAGAACGCGCGTTTTGGTCTCTGGCAGCCACGCGGGCCGTTTTTGGGGTGAAGGCAACTTTCGCAGGTGGTGGCAATCTCCTTAAAACCTTCATTGATGAGCACGGTTTGCTACTTACAGCGCGAAAGAAGTTCAACATACATACACTGCTCATGTGTTTGTAGAAGCTACTGATAGCAATGTTGGTTTTACATTTTCTCCTTGAATCCGCTTATCAGGCACTTAAAGCGTATTATGCCACGTTATCAAAATGTGAGAAATTCACAGATAATGTTTTGAAAGGAATGCTTTTGACTGTAATTACAATATTTAACTCTATACACTGCATGTGTTCTGCAAACTGGCAATTTATGTTATTCGGGTTTTATAACATGATACAGAGCAGTAACGGACAATCACTTAGTATGAAGATTAATTTGAAGAGGTTTACAATTTCCATTAAAAAATGTTTTACCAAATAATAGTTTAAAATTGTTTATTTAAAGCACTGGCTATCTCAATAATGTTTTCCTGCTGAAGCAATTATTTAAAAAGTTATTTAAGTTATTTAGACCAGAGGATGAGGCTCAAAATAAAGCTGTCTCTAGTCAAGGACAATGCATATATTATCAGAGTATGTTGTTTGTTTGCATTCTGACTACAAGCATTGTGGTTAATGCAGACATGATTCCTTGTAGAAGGTTTCAGTTTGGTGTTTTAACATCTTCACACTTGTTTTGTTGCCATAAAAAATGGGAAAAACCTATTATCAAGTTATTTCAAGTTTAAACATTTAGTTTCAAAATAGTCATTAACAACAGCGGTACATTCACAGGTTGTAGCATAAATGTCATAGTTTACAGTTCTAGGTTTTCTTGAATTTAATACTCTTTGGTTCTTTCTGTAAAGTCACGTGTGTATAAACTAAAATAAATCACGACGTTTCAGGCGCAACACAAGCGTTCATCATCAGGTGGGAAAGCATTCAAATCAAGATTTGAGTTTAATGTCAAGTTATTTTGAAGATCATTATTCTACCCATTATGAAACATAATCACTGTAATCCATGGGACTTAGATGCAGCAGCTTCTTGCGATGCAGTCTGATGACACGTAACCTTTGTTTTTGCGTGCGGGGGCAGGGCTTTGGACACTGCTTGCCGATCGCTGGCTCTTCGAGGGTCTGGTTTGGCGGCAGTGCTGGTGGAGCTGGGCACTCATCCTCACCACCGTGGGCTTCTTCCTTTTCGAAAACCTCGCCCTGCACGTGTCAAGCGCCGTGTTCGGTGGCCTCGACCTGGGACTGGCAGTCCACCACGCTCTCAGCGCTCTCGGCTTCCTTACCATGGTGCTCTGGGACTCCACGGGCCACTACTTGGCCATTGTGATCCTCCTACTGGAAATGAGCACCCCATTCACCTGCATCTCCTGGATGCTGCTCAAGGTTCTGTGCAGCTTTTCATCATTATCGTCATCAATAAACAAAATATATTTATACCACGCATCCAACGCAGTACATCTCAAGGGCATTGGAACAAAAGGGGCATTTGAGATCATTACAAGAGAATCACTCATTATGGAAGTGATTGCAGACCAAGTGCAATGTGGAAAAACGAAACAGTATAAGCAATATATAAGTACAAATGACAATAAGCAAACTTGATAACTTAAATTGTGCTTGAGACACTATTTTGTCTAAAAATTACATCTTTAATTTACTATTGAACTCATTAATCTATATGCATTCATCTATTTTAGGTAAGCTCTTCCACTTTTCAGGGAAACACATACTAATTAACTAATTACTAACGTAGCATATAATTACAATAACACACATTACAACTAATTACTAATCTACAACTCATTACTAATCATAACAATTGACTCATTTCCAATCTATTATATAATTACAATACTCCCCCTCTCCGCCTCAAATCACTGCACCTGAATTAGTTAAATGATGACGTCACCCTGCTGCTGCTCTATTTAAGACCAGGAGCAAGTGGAGGGCTTCACCATTCTGGCAAATTGCCCGATGATGCTGGATGTAATTACCAGCGAAACGTCGTACTCAAAAATTGTAAATGCTGTGGATTCACTCTTCAACACACCGGTGGGCTAAAGTAGTTAACTATTTGTCTTTTGTCAACGTGACACATTGTTTACTGTTTGGCCGTGTCGGGTGGTTGAGGGTTATGACACATTTATAAATAACGCGATCTAACCCAAAAACCTTTATTATGAATAATATTGGTCGTGAAAGCCTACGTGTTTGGTACTAAAATCACCAAAGGCCTGTAATTATTTGCTTCTTCCACTTTGCTTGTCGTAGAACAGCTCTTATCACTGAGGTGTAATTGATTTTATGGAACGTAATTTTATAATAATTCTGTCAAATATAGCTTTAACCGAGTTTGATCACGATCCTTATGCCTGTATATTTGGAGACTGCATTGTTCAAAGAGCATGCTTAGTTCATGTTGCAGTGATTGGTGTTTCTGTACTCCGCTGTGAATGCCCGGTTGTCTTTGAGCACATGCACTGCCCAGTTACTCCAACGACACAATTGTGCACCCACACCCTGCTTGCCCAGCCTGATTTAGCCAGTCACCACCGATTAGGTTTGAAATGTTCAGCAGTAAACGTTACCATTCCACATGTTTTATGTGAGTAGCCCTCTCAATGGAAATTGAAAGGGTTACTTTACAATCACAAACGCTGTCATTTATGCGGTGTTGCTGTGTCCTCTTGCCAGTGCGTATCCGAATAGTGTGCAGTATTTTGATGCAAAATACAGCTTACAACTTGAGTAACTTAATACAGTAAAACCTTGGATTGCGAGTAACTTGGTTTGCGAGTGTTTTGCAAGATGAGCAAAATTTTTGCTAATAAATATTAATTTGATAAACGAGCGAGGTCTTGCAATACGAGTAGTGCGTGTATACGCTTTGTCTGTCGAGCATCACGTGATCACAACTGATATACGAGTGCTTTGGATTACAAACACGTTTCCGGAACGAATTATGCTCGCAATCCAATGTTTTACTGTATGTACAACAAACATTGTAAATTAGGAAATATGTCTCGTTGACAGTGCTTGCCCTTATAGTGTGCATTATTCTGATAGAAGATTTACTTGATTTAGACGGAAGTTAGTGTTTATAAATACATGTCGAGAAAAAAATGCCATTTACGTAATATAAATCTATTTGCTTAATGCTCGCCTTATCAGTGTGCAGTATTTTGATGCAAAGCACACTTGATGAAAGTAGATGTGTTGATTTACATGCTTTCTTGTCTGCAGGCTGGCTATGCCAAAACTCTGCTGTGGCGAGTCAACCAGATGGTGATGATCCACATGTTCCACGGGCGTATGTTCCTCACCTACTACTTGTGGTGGGAAAGCTGGAGACATCGACAGGACCTTGTGAATCATGTGTCCCTCCCTACATTGGTCATTTTCTACACGGGCCTGCTCGTGCTGACAGTCTATCTCAACCCATACTGGACCTACAAGAAGACTTTGCAGTTGACAAACCCTGTTGATTGGAACTTTGCCAATAAAGACATGAACAGAAATGGCCACAAAGTTGCAGATGTGATTAACAGGAAGCATTCGTAGGATTGCAGCTGTATTCATGCCACTGTTTTTTTAAGCAAGACACATAGGTATTAAATTTTGATCCTACAGATAACACTGGTGACTCAAATGTATTTTTAGAGATCAGATTGAGAAAGCCTGAGATGTGTGTGATGACATGCAACATTTTCGTGGTATTTGACGACTGCAGTCAGTTCGAACTGGCGAAACGTCGTACTCGGATTGTAAACTGTTGTGGCTTTGCTCTCCAACACACACCGGTGTGCTGAACTAGTAACTAATTGGCATGTATTGTTTACGTGACAAACCTTACTAATTGGCTGTGTGGTTAATGACATTTACGCAATCTAACCCAAAAATACCTCTTCTGATAATATTGGTCACGAGAGCCGACGTGTTCAACTGAGTTTTGACCAGTGCTTCCAAATAGCTGAGACTCGAGCACTGATTGATGCTCTTTATAATGGCCAAGAATCGACCCAATTAATTCAGACTTGGGAGAGTGGCATCTGTTGGAACAGACCCCCAAGATACATGCTTCTATCCTCTACTTGTGCTTAGGCCTCAGTTGAAAGAACCCTTCGTCTAGATGCACGGTACTTGCAACAAGAGATTGTGCACTTTATGCAGATTGTAGCTTTCATATTTTTCCTTACTGGTGCCGTCTGTGATGTATTAATGCTTACTGTTTGAAATGTTGCATGTTGAATCAAGCTCAGTTTTTGCATGCAATTTTACATATCCCATCGGGTTATGTTAAGCTGATATATTTTTTTTATTGTGCTTTAAACTTATGGTCTGTTACAAGGCCATTCACTATCCTTATGTTCTCCTTTACATCCTTCCAGCTCCGTCACTTCCAGGGAGTGTCAAAGCTTCAGGACATGGAGTGGTGGGATGCAAGCGTAGGGTTTAGGAAAAGCTCAGTTACTGCATTAAAATCAAATCACTTTGATATTCGGAGACTTTATTAATGTATGATGTGTACTAAAATACTTTATTAGTAGATTGTAATATGCATATTTCAATCTATCAATCATGACGATCTAAAAACTAATATATTTACATACAGTGTGCTACTTGTAAACAGTTGTTTAAGAATATATGAGTATATGGTTGCTGGTTTTAGGTGATAGTTTTTAAAATTGTTTTGTTTGGTATTTACATAATCGACTGTTATTTGCTGCAATAACGGTATAACTATAATTTGTATAGCTGCTAAACATCACGTGCTACTGGGAATGTCAAACAGATAAAGAGCAAACACCAACACATTTGCTATAAATTGTGATGATTTTAGGGAGTGTAAATCAAGCAATAACACATTTATTGAGTGATAATACCTTTATAATTTTAACAGGTGAAAGAGGTAATGAATTACATGAATGCAACTGGAAATGCAGCTTACAAAGGTAAAGCAAACATCGATGTATGTTTAAATAGATCTCAGTCATGGTTTTTTTTACCTCTGTGTGAAAACGTAGTTTACATTTATACTTTCAGGCATTTAGTGTAAACGTGGTCAATCCTCTGAGCATTGACTTTGTAGGTATTTAATTGGTTGTGATTAGAGGAGAAATTGTGTCTTGAACAAGGCTTTGAACATGAGAGATCGCTGAGACAGTAGAATGAAGAAATCCCCCACTGGTGGGAGGCTAAATGTGGCTTTGTGGATTTACAGTTGTTGGCATTTAAGTTAACATCCTCATTAGCAGCCACAATGGTCTATCCACTGCTGGATGGAACCCTCCCCACACATTGCCATCCCTCATTTGCCTTGACAATCTATCTCGCTAAAAATATTATTTCCATGAAATGCTGTGGATTTGTGGCATAAAATACTCTGGTATATTTATTTTGTTTAAGACTTGCATGCAAGTTGGACTAGAGCAGATGACAAAATACGTACATTTAATTTAACATTTCAAACAGCTTTTCACGTGAAAGTGATCAAGCCATTATGTGCATGCTATAGGCCATTAACTGATGTGACATTTTCATTATACCAAGTTTTTTTCCCTTTTAGAAACCTAAAATTAAGGCATTTTGATACAAAATAATATATTTATAGCCGCACGTAAATATAGCTTAGGTTTTTTTTACTGCAAATTCGAATGCACTGTCTTGTATGTGAACCAGGCATTTAGGAACAGGTTTATGATGACACTTGCTTCATGTCAGTCCGGGTTTGGTTAAACATTCTATGATCGCTGCAATATTGTAAATTATCTTTCAGATCTAGGTAAAATGCACAACGAATGAAAAGCTGTAATTGTCTACTTTTTTGTAGTTTAGTTAAATGTAGTATTTTTCCCATAACTGTTGCACAGTGGAACATGTTTCGATGCTATATTGGAATGACACCTATTTTATTTCACATTTGTTTGAGTTTCTCTAAAGCTACGAGTGTAATATTGAAATAATTTCAATACTTTCAATGGAAGGTAATTTTTTTATTATGCAGATGTTTTTAAAGAATGTATCTCTTCTAAAATAGTGGGTAGACAGGACCCACCCGTATAACACATCTCAAACTCAATGAGTTTGAGATGTGGGGTGCCATGGTGGCGAGATGTTAAATACCTCGTCTGGTAATGCAGGAGGTCTTGGGTTCGATCCCGACCTTGATGCCTGTTGTATATTTGGAGTTTGCGTGTTATCCCTGTGGTCCGTGTGGAATTTTCTCCGGGTCCTCCGGTTTTCCCCTCCACATTTAGAATAAACATGCTTTTCGAGTATTTGGTTGAAATACATTTCCACATGATAAGCCACTTCGTTGAGATATCATTTGTGGGCAGGTTGCTTTTGAAACAGAGCTATATAGCTCAGTGGGCCTTACGTGCTAAATAGGTTTATTCACAAATGTGCAAACTTAACATGACAGTGGTATATTTAGACGATGTTTAGGTACCACAGATTTTACTGAGTTAATCAAGTAAATACATCTCTGCTGTGTTATAGCAATATCACATTTTCGAATCATTTCCTGATCTCGGTTTATGATGAGAATTTGTTTTAGAAAATGTAACAAGATATTTTGTATGATATGTTGATTTAGTGTTTGATCAAATATAGCCTAGTAAGGTAGCGTTGTGGCTTTGATCAGCTCTGAGCTGGCACTGATAAGATACTCAATTTAGATTTAGGCAGCTGCCTGTGATTGATTCTCAATCGTTGTGAGTTTATAGTCGCAAATGACTAAAATAACAATTGGAATAAATGCGATTCAGCACTATAGCTACATTCCAAATCTGAGAACTTAAAATGTTGATTTCACTGCCACGTGACGAACGTTACTTTTAGTGCCAGAGTGGGTGGGAAAGTGCTGTCCCCCCTCAAGTTACCTGTTCCTGTGTGTAAGAGGTCACGTGAAAGGATCTCGGGGCAGCTGCGGTGTCCATTTCTATAGGGCGTTCAACAATGCGAAGGGTTACATTGCAGTCCGAGAGATACAAATGGATGTGACGCATGACATGATACCGATACATTACTCGCAATATTTGTTGATACTGCGTTGGCAGTGGTGCACAAGCACAATTATATATATATACAAAACTCACGTGAATAGTATTGCCAGATGTGAAGCTTTCGTGACTGCAGGAATTACTCTTTGGTTCTTTCGGTAAAGTCACGTAGAAAGAAATTAAATTAATAATAGAATACGACGACGTTTGATTGCAACACAATCAACCATCATCAGGTACAAACGAATGAGAAAACAAACATAGTAAACTTGGAAATATAACGCAATACAACACAGAGACTCGGCTGTGTTTTTGACTAATGTGTTTCATGATACCGATAGCACAATTTGGAAAAAAGATTTGTATACACTTTTTTTTATATGTTTGTGTAGTGTTGAATCCTTAAAGTGTCAGTACATAGAATTTTGTCCACATGCATTGTAAATGGTTTTCGTTTAAACTCTAATAATATATGGCATATTATGGAGAACACTTGTTTTTGTCATTGCTGCCCAATGTTTTTCATTTAACTTGATTGTCATAGTACTGTTGAACTGTTTTGTGCTGTTCTTTTACCTGCCCAGGTTCATTTGCAGTAGTGGTAAGGATTTAGTTTTAATGTCTATGTCATTACTGTACCTGAATTGAGTGAAGGACACTATATTTTCCAACATCCGAGTGTGATGACACCACTATTAATTATAAGGGATCTTAAAACAAGTCAAGTATAACAGGAGTGGCTCTAGAAGATAATGCAATCTGTCACCACAAACACAATGCCTAATTAAATGATTCACATTCCAGAATTATTTAAGTTAGTAATCAGGGATTGTGTATATCTACCATTGTTCAGTTTGAACTTAGCATCTTCCAGTAGCTCCTATAAAGGGTACGCTTATATTGACAATCAAAGTTTCACATCACCCTTTGGGCTGTTAATCGCAATGCACCACGTGATAGTGGATGTTAATACACTAGCAGTATTCAAAGAGGACATCACAACGTATTTTGGGTTGGAATAAATTGATAACTAAATTATTTATATTTGCTTTTTGTGTTTATTTTGTTGTCCTTCTCCTGCACCTCCGATTAGCACGGTTGGCTACGTACTTAAGTGTCGAAAGAAGTTCAACATATATACTCAAGATTCAACACACATACATACACCCACCCCTCCCAGCACCACTCTCCAAGCTTGATTTTAATCTCTTTTAATCTCGTGCACTTTGCATGGAGGATGGGAGAATGGGGGATGGGTTTTGGGAAAGTGTAAGACGCATGTTGACTGAAAGTGTCACACAGTCACTTGTGTGCCTGTGAGAACCCTTGATGGTGCAAGCAAGCCTGACACACAGCGGGGAGCTCAGGGGTGAATACTGTATCCCAGCCTGCTGGTGAATGGTGGGGGCAGGAACAGTGGAAAGGGAAATGCCTCGGCAGTGTCTTGAGAACAGCTGTTTTGGATCATGTCCATTTGCATGTACAGCCCTTTTGTCAATTCGCTTTTTGAGAGAGGGCCTCCCCTTGCCATGTGAGTCATGGGGGTGTATTGAACACACTTCCTCACGACCGTCTGATTGGAGACCATCGACACGGGACCATAGATGCACAATACGGTACAACACTGGATTTTACTGGACGGCGCAGTGGCGAGATGTTAACTACCTCGCCTGGTATACAGGAGGTCGTGGGTTCAATCCCGACCCTTGAAGCCTGCTGTATATTTTGAGTTTGCAAATCACATCGTAGTCGTGTGAAGATTTATCCAAGTCCTACGGTTTTACCCTCCACATGTAGAAACATGCGTTTAGAGTAATTGGCTGCTATACATCCCACAAGCCACTTTCTTGGGCTATCATTTGTGGCCAGGTAGCTTCTGAAAAGAGCTAAAAAGCTCAATGGGGCTTTACCTGGTAAAATAAAAATAGTAAAAAAAGAATAGTAATGGACTCCACGTTTGATGAAAACGTATCCCTGCAGCAGCCTACAACACCCGTTTCTCTTCATGGTGCTCACCCACGTAAGCAGAATCAGAACACAAATGTGTGGTTAACGCAGACATGATTCCTTGCAAAAGGTTTCTGTTTGGTGTTTTAACTTCTTGACACCTGAAGGGTAAATACATACTCAAGTGCAGCAGCAGCAGTAACAGCAGCAGCAGCAACTGCAGCAGCAGCAACTGCAGCAGCAGCAGAAACTGCAGCAGCAGCAGCAACTGCAGCAGCAGCAGCAACTGCAGCTCCCTTTGATGCTGTTAATCCTGCATAATGCACATGCATATGCAGTACTAATCACATTCCTGCATTTCCCATAAATATGCTAAATTCCTTTTGATATGCAAATTCCTTTGTCAATGCGCCCAGCTTATATATATGCTCCAAGCTCGTGTGCTGTTTCATTCAGACTCTGTCGCCTCGACGGACCTGGTTTTCACCTGAGGACGGCTGCTTGCGTTGTGGCCGAAACGTCGTGAGAATTGTTTTATTATGTTTTATTTTTATTATTTTATTACTTCCCTTCTACGTGACTTTACCGAAAGAACCAAGAAGATAAATACATACTCTTTGGTTCTTTCGGTAAAGTCACGTAGGTAGCAGCAGTTGTCCTGCTGTATCGGTTCCACCTGATGACGATCGCTTGTGTTGCGATCGAAACGTCGTGATTTTATTTATTTTATTTTATACCTACGTGACTTTACCGAAAGAACCAAAGAGTATGAATTCCTGCAGTCACGAAAACTTCAAATCGAGAAGGGTAACACCTATTCTTATAGAATCAGAATATACCGGAGGAAGCGATTGAGCTACAAAGCTGTTTTTCACAGATGTCTCGTAGTTGGAGGCTCAACCCTGCGTGGCTCATGAGATCGGGTTCATTCCTGGTGATCTGGCCAAATGCACAGTTCTTGTTCATCTTGTTAGAAATTGAGGAATTTATTCATGCAGTTCTTCGACGCTGCTTGTAAACTATTAAATACCAACATATTAACTACTGCCAAATAATGTGGGAAAATAAAATTAAAATATTTGATGTGAAAAGGGATCATTCATTTCAGTTAATTTCCTATATTCTCGGAACAAATAAGCTGTTCTCCAACGGAATTAGCTACATTCAAAATACGAACAAAGGTAAATAAAATGTTTCGTGGCAAATTAGTACAGAAAAGTGATGTAGCTTTTTCCCACCCTGATGTGGCAGTGCTTGGTGATTTCTGACATCCACACCCTTCTGCATTTCACACACATGTTGATTAACTTTCCCTATCTTATGGTTGCTCCTTGTATCTGCACTTTTGAACAGAATAGTAAGAGATGACTTCCAGGAAACCACTTTCAGGTTAATTCTGCTTGGTTCATACCCATGGATCCTCATCATGGCAAATCCTCATTATAGGAGGTTTTGAGATAGCTTCAGCCACCCCCAGCAGACACGTTTGCCAACTGACCTGGTCTTGAGCCAGTCTGGGCAATCCAATCTGGGATATACCAGTCCACCATCTGCTCTTACCAGCCAACATCGTCTGGAATTGGCCCTCGCTCTTCCCTCGAGTTTTCCCTGCTGTGATCGTTAGAGCCACTTCACCATCATTTCCTCTTTAACACGTCCTATAGATCCTAGCTGTTGCTTACTCACTCTTCCCAGAAGCTCACATTGCATCCGCAAGTACTCTAGTTGTCTCTTGTCAGTCCAGAGTTAATAATATTTTAATTTAATATAGCGTCATTCATGCTAATAGCTTGTCTTAACGCTGTACATTCATTATATATGACTACAGCTCATATACAGCCACTACCAAGAAAATAAAAACCCTACTACCAATACATTTCAAAAGTAAATAAACAAATTAAGAAATGGCACAAAAAAACCAAACAATAAAAAAAGTTATCACAACAAATAAATTAGTCCATTAGGAGTTTCGGGGCGCCACAGTGTAATACAGGAGGTCGTGGGTTCGATCCCTGATCCCGACTCAACGCCTGCTGTATATTTGGGGTTTGCATTTCTCTCTCCCCGTGGTCGCGTGAACTTTTCTCCGGATCCTCCGGTTTTTACCTCCACATTTAAAAACGTGCATTTAGAATATTTGGCTGCTGTTAATGTCCACATGATAAGCCACTTCGTTGAGCTATCATTTGTGGCCAGGTCGCTTCTGAAAAGGAGCTTTATAGTTCAGTGGGCCTTACCTGGTAAAATAAAAAAAACATAGTCTTGTCGAAGAATGTGTTTTGGGTAGGAGACTTGGCGACCGTGGCAATAGCGGTGCAAACCAAAGATTGCATCCTCGACTCATCTCTCATATTTAAGGTACGTCCCTCTGCTCCAGAGAGTATCACAAGTCAAATTAAAGCTTTTGGCAGTCTAATAATAAGTTGAATTTATATTGCATCAAAATAAATAACCATCTAAAACGCTGTGCGTAAACATGAACAATGCATTTAGAAAAAAGTACCGTCAATCGTGAAACAAAAATATGGGCAGATAGGGCAGATAGGGTAGCGACATAACACTGGGCACACGTAATCCAGTGCAGATGGTGGGTTTGTCCTGTTATGTGTAATACTTGACACTGGGAAAATAATGGGAGGGTTGCCGATTTGGATGAAGATGGAAGAGAAAGATGGATAAGCAAGGGGAGTTATACGCAAGTAGTCAACAGCAGAGGAGGTGAGGAATGTCTTAAGTCTGGACATAATGACGTTATTTGAATCTTGACATGTTTGTAATGCCAGATGTTATTTATCTCTTGAAAACATTCCTTGTTCGTGGGCATGTGTGCCTTGATGTTATTGGGGCAATCGCCTTTGGAATTCTGTGGCTAAACGGATGAAATTGCTGCCAACTGCCAACTTCTCTCAACTACATTTATGCACGGATGATACTGTAGTACGTATGGATTTTACAAATATTTTTTATCAATCTTCTTATCCACGCTCTTCTGCAGATATTTAAGACCGAAAAACAGGTTCACAATTCTGGCTATAGCCTGATGAAGCTGGTTGAAATCACCAGAGAAACGTCGTACTCGAATTATAAATGTTGTTTGGTTTACTTTCCAACATACCAGGTGTGCTGACCTTGTAACTAATTCGAACGTTTTGATTACGTAACAAACCTTTCTAATTGGCTGTGTGGGGTGGTGACGGGTTTCACAACACACAAAAAACACATTTCATTGATAATATTGTTCGCGACAGCCGACGTGTTAAATAGGAAGAATCGTGTACTTGTGGGAAACCTCTTTTAGGGTCGATTTGGGTCGGGTCAAATCCACACCATAAGTGTAACAAATAAGGTGACTTATCCCTACACATGATGCATACAAAGCGCAGATAAATGAAAGAATCCCAGCCAGATTATGGGTTTGGACAGTGGACATAGTAGGTACTGTAAGATGATAGCGGACAAGAGCAATTGCATATTGCAAACTTTCATTTGTGACCATTTTCCTTCACTTCCATGATTGTCCTGCTTACATCCATTTTAAACGCACGCGTCGTAAATTATACCCGCGGTTGCGATACTCGCAAACAATTGGCAATTGCGGAGGCTGATTGAATGGTCCTATTCAGAAGTGTGACAGGCGAGTAGCCGTGGTGAATAATATCGGGGGGGGGGGGGGGGCACGCCTCCTGTGTCCCAGGTCTCTTCTCAAGTCCGCCTCGAAGTGCGGCGTACAAGCGCGTCGTCGCGTCCATGTGCGCACCTCGGCGCTGCGTGCTGTTGCAGCAGCTTCAACCGGAGATAAAGAATATCGGTGGAGGAAGAGGAGGAAGTTTTGTCCCAGAGGGCCCCTTTCTTAAGGCAACCCTGTTGTCCAAATGCTGGCAAGGCAGTCGCGTGGTCCCTCCGTGGCAAGGGGACCATTGGACCTGGCCGAGAGAGCCGTCACGCGGATCGCCGGTAAGTGACGAGCTGGCAACGCCTCCGACTCGGCTGGCCATCCTCATCACCTCGCTCATGTTGATATTATTTAGAATAATACATATTATTGGAACAATTACTTTTTTCCAAAAGTATTTTATTGAACTGGAACAATT